GCTGCGAGTGCTGTTTGGTGCTTTCAGCATCCCTAAATCCTTCGATCCTGACTCCTAAACCATCCTAGACCCCGCAAACCTCTGAAAAATAAAACAACAAAACTGAACCCTGTACCCTCTCAACCGTGGTTACTGTTACCACCGTACCTCTTCGAACTGGCTTCTGTTCAGTTCGTGGTTCGGCGCGATGGGTTTGGGTTTCCCTTACCTCTTCGACGCTGCATCCCAGGCGCCCAGTAGCACTCCTCCCAGTCCAGGTCCAGGCCAGGTGTCCCGGTCAGAAGTGTTTGCCCCTTCACAGAGACGAAGATCCTTTTCGGGAAGAATTCCGCCTTGATGTCTTTCGGCACAGTGTCGTCCGGGAGCTGCGCCTTAACCACGACCTCTAAGCCATTCCTTTCCCATGTATACTTCCCGTTTGGACCCTTTCCACCCTCCCCCACATCATCCCGCCCAACAAGTGGAGCCTCCCACTCCGGCTCTACATCGTCTGGGCCCATGTCATCGATCTCTTCCCAGCCCAAAAGCTCGATGTCAAAGCGCACCGTCGCGTTTGGTGGTATCTTCCATCCGGCTCCCTGTGCTCCATAGGCCACAGACGAGTCCATCAGAAAGAGCGACCTCCTGCAAACAACTCCGAAATCTCGGTTCAGCTGCAGCACGCACAGATAACTTACCACAGTACCTTGACACACTGTTAGGATGGGAGCAGTCCGAGTGGCTCACCCTTCATCATGGTCGGAATACCTTTGTCCCAGCCACCGATGACGAAGCCCAAGCCGACTCGGAACGTGTACGGCTCATGTCGGGCACGCGTGTCATCGAAGACCTAAGCCAGAGTGAAACCCATAGTGCTCTCCGACTGCATTTGTTGGTGTCTGGTTGCCGGCAGTCGTGACGTGATTCTCACAGTATTATTAAGACAGTCGAGACTCAGTCCCATCCTCGAGGGATCCGATGAAGTGCACCGTGACCTGCACGGCGGAAGCACCCAAAGAACAAACTCAAACCCAAACCCCCTGCCGCGAAAGGCACTGCTTGAATCCAAACCCAAACCCACCCCACCCTCAGGGGGGAGGCAGGGAGCGACTTCTGCCTGTCTATTTGACTACATTAACTTCGATACACATACATACACGCGGCACTTGGAATTCAGTCACTGCGTGAATCGCGTATGACACTCGTCATGAAGCTCCGAGATCAAACCGAGGTCTTCACTTTGCATTGCTCGGTCTACACATTACACAGAACACAGGGGCCTCTCACCTGTGCTCACATGCAATTATGCCGAATCCCCGGGTGTGCCGCCTCATCACCAAGCTGAGGGCGTCGGCTGAAGGCTGGAGCAGGCGAGATGATGTTCCTCGGTGTCAGACTGTGTAGGGGCCCCTGGGATCGCTTTCGAACCGGTTGCGACTTAGTGGTGGGCATGTCTGATTCCGCTGCCGGATCACAAGACATCCTCCATCTAAGCTCTGGCTGAACGTCGAAGCTGAGCAGCTTGACCAGGCTACCATTCCCCAGAATGTCTACCTCGTCTCCTTGCCCAGACATCAGCATGGCCATGAGCTCCTCATTGTCCTGACCTCGGCTGCCGGGTGGTGGGAGAAGTTGTCGGCGCACCGAAATCTTTGGTACCTACGGCATCCTATGGCTATCCAATGGCCCTGCAAGCGACTGTAGAAGTCATCCGCCTCACTGTCCTCAGATGCGTGACAGCCCACCGCTGCTGGCAAATGCGGCAATCCAAATTCTGACCTGCCTTGGCCCGATAGAAGCCTTTCCCTCTGGTGAGTCAGGCTTCCATCTGCTCTGCCATCTCCCTGCTCGCTTGCTTCAATGCCTCGGAGCTGGGTACAACCCACATGTGCAGGTCAGTTTGAACTCGATGTTCGTCTAGAGAGTTGTGTATGAGACTTAATTACATGTTTTGAGACTTTAGCTACACGTTCAGTGTGTCTGCCTTTCGTGGCTTGTCCACTGCACATCTAGAGTCGCGACCGCAGCAAAGGCGCTTACGTTCCTGACGCTATCCTGCATGCTCTCATCAACGACTTCATCATGCTGTCTTCTCTGCAAATCAACCTCTGGGCAGGCAATGTGCTGAAGCACTTCGCTGAGTAAGCTATCAGGCACTTCACACTGACTTTAATTGAACACTTACTTGTACATGGACCCGACTTGGTGTAAGTGTCTTTCATGCAAGTTGAGGGCCCTCTACAGATCCGCCTGGTCCCTGGAAGGCCGAGGAACCGTGGGCCGGGCTCGCGCAGGCGACCGGCTTCCCACCTTGCAGAGCATGTGCCAGACACTTCACTCTGCTGGTCATGCTTGAAGCCTGCATGGGATCTTATCTCGAGAATACGGACCCACCATAAGCAGTTCCGGTAACTTTCGGTTTTGGATGTGAAAACCTAGGCATGCCGAGCAAGCGACACCGCTTCACCGCTTCACAACCAGAATTCACTTGAGCTTGCAGTCGGGTTCCCCGAGATCAGCGATCAAACAAAACCCCGAAACTCCAGCTTGGTCCCTGCCGACGAGCCACTTGTCCGAGGCCCGGGATCCAAACCAGGGCCTTGCCCATCAAGACCTCGCAAGCTGCATTTATTCTTTGCTATTTTGCGAAGCAAACTGCGCCTCCTCAGGGCTTACTATGGCCTAGTGATGCCGTGTTTGCGGGTCCATGCGCACTTGCCCAGCCGAGACACTGTGGCGCCGGCGGCCAGCAGCAATCGCCAGCAACCGCAAACCTGACCCAGTGAAGCTGTTGCCATAATCACAGCCGGCTCAAGAATAGCAAGCATCTTGCAATCCATATCTCGCAGGCTGCATAAATGTATGCCAGAGCAGCAAAAACAGCTTAAGGCAACTCCATGCTAGCCGCGCGACGCCATGGGCACGATGCCCTTTGGAGAGTGCTCTCTGCATCACGGCTGCAGCCATGACGCGAGATCTCCGGCTTCTAAATAATAATATGCATATGCATATGTATATACATCTGACCCATGGCCAAGGAGCTGCCTAAGCTTGTGGTAGCTGTGTTGGCACTGTATAAGGGTTTGCGGCAGGGGGTTACATCACGATTGGTACCAAGAAGATTTCGAAACCAGCTTGAGGACTACATAATTCAGTGGTCTGTGGGATCGCCAGATCCCGGGAGTATGTACAACTAAGATGCGGGCTCAAGAAACTGGATGAGGGGGTTGTTGTTTCAAACGTTTCGTCGGAGTTTGAGGGGCTACTCTGTATATTACTCTTACTCTTATTCCGAGTCTTGTTCTCGTCATTACCGTCATTGTCATTATCATTCTCACTATTAGTATATATTGTCATGTCTGAGTATAGACTAGACTCTGACGGCACGAATCACAATGCTTCTGTGCCGAAAGTTGCGGAACTCCAAGGGGTATATACATCTCCGGAAGGGCTCAAATGTTAGGGTGCTCTCAAACGCAGAGCTTTCGAGCAAAGCTGAAGAAAGGGACAGTTGCAGTTCTGACACACCCCGCCGTTTCTGGGCAAAACAGTGTGCCCGCCATCTCATGCAGCCAAGACTCTTCAGGATCTTGCAGGTCCTGATGCCAAGAGTTTATCTAACGTCAGTGCGTTGAGCTGGTGAAGTGTATATGATACCATACGGTGGGTGCTGGACGTAAGTTGCTGAGGTCTCGGAGAAGCCGTAAATCTGACTCTGCTGGACTTGCGAGTGGGAGGCTGTCACGAAGGTACCTCGTATAACGCCCCAGGCGGTTGAAAGCTTTAGGCTTGGTGCCGTGGAGCTACATCCAAAACGGCTTCAGCTACTACACCATAGCTTCTGCCAGCCAATTGAAAAGTCATTGTAATCAGGCTTGAAACTCCCGTGAACTATAAGACTTGTTCCATGGTTCCTGCGCTGCATGCTGGGCCTGCCAAACAAACGACTATCATGTGTGGAGCTAGAAACCAAGGTTCAATCTCAAGATATCTCAAGCCCAGAAAAACAGACCCAAAGCCCTGTGTTCAAAAGCTCCGTCCATCATCTTCAACCGTTCTGTGATTGCGTGCTTCCGGTAGCATTTGTACTTACTTGCAATGGAAACATCACTCATCCCTCGGTGAATCTGCACAGCAGCATCTGTGGCACTGCTGTGCCAAGACAGCGGGAGAAGCCATTATGTACAAATTCTAGTGCGGAATGTAAATATCAGTAGATATCAGTAGTGTACAAACGACATGCAGGTGAAGGTGCCGATTTACTGCAGACGCTGATGTTCTCGACATGCATCCCAAGCGCTACATAGGATCATCATCGAGGCTCAAAGTTAGATGCAGTGTGCATTTCACCCCCTCATCTCCCGCAAGCCCGTCAAAGACAGGCAAGAGGCAATGTAGCTGCAGATAGTAATCCAGATGGTGCAGCAAGAAGAAACGAAGACAAGGCAGACGTGTGATAGTGCGACATAGCTCGTCAGTCGACGCCGATCTAAGTAAAACCTCCCGACGCTGCGAGTCGGCCCCGGCTACTTGTACCACGCCAGAGCAAGTCTGGACTTCTAGACTTCTAGACTCCTCCCACTTCATCCTTGAACACCTCGCAACATAAACCCCACAAGACTAAGAACCCGCTACACCCGCTCAAGCTTAGCCAGGCAATGCTGAACCCATCATTGCCGGGATCCCTGAGCACTCAGAACCCTAGCCGAAGCCCATGTTGGAAAGCAGCCGTCCTGTGAAGATAAACAAAATGCTGGACCTCACTTGCGCGGCTGCACTACTTCACCAGTCTTCTGAAGATCAGGTAAAGCCGGTACTGCCATGCTCGGGTTCAATGGAGCGCTCCATGCAGCAGCTCCCACGCTAGCTGACTCTAGCTGTCCACGAGGCTATACAGTACCTCTCATCTCAAAGCAGCCTAAGCAGCGGGTCACAGCATCCAGGCTACTTGCAGAGCTGACGTCAAAGCCCCAGGCGGCTTCGTCCACTTTGGCCTTTGCACAAGAAAGCTCGAGGCTCGCAGGATTGAAGCTTTCCACGAGAAGCTTCTTTGTGTTGGCAGCAAGTTGGCAAGCGTCGATGTTACTCTCCTCATGGCCCCCAGACAGACATTCACACGCCATGACTCCTTCTGCTGGGAACCCGGCTGCCAGTCTTTGTGGCAGCTGTGCGACCGGACCTTCACTAGACCAATGCTGCGAAATTGGCTTCTCTACTGCTTGCAGTGCTCTCACAGTTTGTGGGCTGCAACTGCAAACGCCGCTCGTTTTACCATGTACTCCACCAAAGTTGCCATGATGAAGGAGGCCGTCTGTTCAAGCGGATTTGAGGAAGTCTTTGTGCCGCGAACGAATATAAGCGGCATTCCCGACGCTTCAATCTCAAGTGTCCCACCGCAAGATCCCGCGTGCCTTTGCCCGGCTCGAGGAGGGTCAGCCTGCCGCTTCGGAGGTCTCATTTTCGGCCGAATGCTGTCTTGGCTTAGTGTGGCTTCACAACACACTCGGGCCCGGAAACAAAACCTGTCGGCACTTTCAGGAAACCGCTGCAACTGCACGTTGCCTAGAGGACAAGGCTCTGACCAAAAGTCGAGGCGATCCACTGATGACTCGGAAACGGCCTGCGAGAAAGCTGACGAAAGCTGTGTGCACAATGAACTCACACCACTGCACCGACTTCGCATGATTACGCTTCTGATCAGAAGCACATTGGGTGGGCCTCAACACAGAGAGAGAGAGAGAGAACCCATGAAAGCCATGCTTGTCTGCTGCACGGCTTCCCTAGCCCTGGGCCTGAAGCACGTCGCGCACGTGCTTCCTATGCTCGTCATCGTAGCTGTCAGCCTCATCTCTCACTTTGACATGCAAGACAAGCGTGTATGTATGGAAGATCATATCACTGAGATGTTTAGGCGATTCCAAATTCGGCAAGGGCTGAAAGCTGTGACTGGGAAGAACTTTGATCGTAAAGCGCATTCACCTCCCCACCGAAGGACCGAAAGGAATTGTCTGACTAGCATCTCGCGCACCCTTTCTTCAGAGACTGCAGCGTGAAGACGCGGTAGAAGCGGCTCTCGGTTGGTCAGCAGTTGCAGCGTACTTAACAAAGTGGAGCCCTTATTCGTAGCAAACCTTCACGTGACTCCGGAGGCAAGCGTTTCACATGCTGAAGTCGGCGCTGAGGTTTGGCAATAAAATTAATTGCTGCAACGTGCATGACCTGAACATCACCGTGCCCACGTGGCACAGGACATAAACCGAGTGCAAGCTTTGCTCCTACTGTAGATGCGGGACGAGCGTATGAGAGCTTTTGGGCTTCAGACATGCTGAAGGCGTCTGTCGCCACGTTCCGTTACTGTATGTGACACTTTGTGGACACGAGAGGTTGCAAATATGCGTGGAGATATACATGAAAATACTTTTAGCGGCCGACGCATCTCATCAAAGTCTGCAGGCTGGGCCTGTGATGTACATCACGTGTGTCTGTTTTGATGGGCACTCCCTAAGTTCGGTCGGCTCGCTCTGTCTGCCAGGATCCGAACGAGAGAGATCTGCAGGATGGCATTCATCTCACCTGCAACGCCAAGGCACAGGAATCTGCAGTTGGAATGCAGTCGAAGCGTTCATGCCTGGCATGACGTGTTCACAAACCAGGCGTTTCCTTTCGTTGCGCAAGACTTGCAAGCTGGACTCTGGGGCGTGCAATAACGCCGTGCAAGGATTAGAATCGCATTCTCGCCACAATCCCGTGCGGGCATGAACCGATGTCGTTGTCATATCCACTATACTTTGGTGCTTCCGAGCGCACTGTCCGCCGTGGATTGGCTGTGATAGGATGCGATGTGTGTACGAGTGTAGTGGCCCAGGTCCCATGGGATTATGACGTGGAAACGCTTCAGCTCTTTCTGCGTCGCAGTCCCGTGCTCGTGTCAGCCTTCAGAAGTCGTGGCAGGGCTTCACCTTTTCGGAATTACCCACACCTACATGAACCGCCACAGAGCCGTGGGTCGTGCGTGCTCCCGCCATCGTGCCGCTCTTTTGCCGTACTGATTGGTCGCCTCGGGTGCTGTGCTTCCTGGATCATGCTGGATGTTGTTGGTTCCGTTCGGTGCTCTTTCAGTGTTTGGAGTTTAAGCTGGCGTAATCTGATCGTGAGTTTTGTTGACTGCAAGTCGGCTGAGAAGCTGTCGCGAGTCGTGCATTTAGAAGGGAAACAGAAGGAAGCCGAATCTCACACGAGCCGAGCTGGAGTCATCATGTCCTCAGCTGGCTAACTGCTCCCCTTCTACTGCTGAGACAGTTTAGTAATTTAGGTTCAATGAACTGTGGGAATGTGGTAACAAACACACCGCCAAGCCGCCAAGCCTAAGAAGCCTGCTTCTCATCTACCTGGTTGGCATCTGCCTATGAGACGTTCTCGGATCTCTGCACGACACCGGTCTCGAAGGTCAAGCTCGTTCTTGACAAGGTGCAGGGCAGAAGTGACCTGCTTGGCACCGGTCGTGCCATGACAGTGCAGGAA